GAGAGAGAGAGAGAGAGAGAGAGAGAGAGAGAGTGTGAGAGAGTGTGTGAGAGAGAGTGAGAGAGAGAGTGTGAGAGAGAGAGAGAGAGTAAGAGAGGATTAGATCATTTCCTTAATACAGAAAAATCAAAAGAATTTAAGACATGTAAAAATCCAGATGGAATAGTAAAATTAAAGTTCTTACACACATACACTCAAAACAAAACAAAAAAATATATTAACAAAAAAAAAAAAAAAAGGAAAAAAAAAAAAGAATTCCAAAGAGTCCAGTGCAGGACGTGGGGAATATACAGAGCCTGGCACCTCTAGAACTGGGCACAGGTATTGGGCCTGGCCCCACCAGAGCTGGACACAGGAAACTGAAGCCTGGCACTGTGCAGGCACCAGCCGTTATATGTTCTGACAGCACTGCATCTTTGGTTTATTTTCAGTGGTGGGTGGGACATGTATGGGGACAACGTTGTTACTTGGGGACATGTCGTTTTCACGTCTGTCAGACATCTGCTTCTGAGACACAATGCGGTAAATTTCTGAAAAACAAAAAAGGACGGTGTATAAATTCAGAAAGAAACAAACAGGTCACTCAAGTAATTCAGTATCTACAATACTTTATAGCTGTCCGGCTTCTAAATTATCACCCCATAAGTAATAATACTACATAGGTAGAGATAGGAATCGATTTCTTGTGAAATCATTGGAATTCTTCTCTGCTCTGATGGGTTTCATACCGTCCCTAAATAAGGGGACGCATCAAAGTTCAGACAAAGCCAATGACTGCAGGCTCTACATGAACTTCAGTACTGCCAAGACCCTTCAGAAGAGACCACTGGTCATTTGCACATCACCAAAGAGCAGAATTTTAAAGATGGCAGGAAAAAAAAAAATCAACCTGACTTTCAAATAATTTGTAATATTTCTAGAAACAAAAAAACCCCAAAATAACTTGTAATCAGGAAAAGCTTGCCACCCGCTAGCCCTTTAAGATGCCATAACAGCAGCTGTACAAGGATCACTACTGGCACATATGTGAAGTCAGCGCCTTGTGTACTGTTCTCCCTATCTTACGACCTTGAGAATATTTGCAACTGTAACCTGAAAGCATTGCCCTACCCCTCACCAAAGGACACACAATACAGCATAAGATCTAAGAACAGGAAAAGGGAAGTGTAAACAGCAGCAAAAGACCTTTCCAAATCACCAGTGACAGAATAAATGTCAGGCCTGCCCACACATGACTATATTCTTTAATATAACAGGCATTTGCTGACACTTTAAGAATCTATCTTTTTCTTAAAGGAGAACTATGAGGCGAGTGCTTTTCACTCACCTCATAGTTCTAGCCGACCCGTGACAATGAAACTGTCACAGGTCGGGTCAGTAGATCGGGAGGTGAGCGAACACATACCGGTGCTGGATTCCCCCCTCCGATCCTCCAGCGCTGACTGGCGGAACAGACAGGGGAGGGGGCGGGTACGGCTGGCTCTGCCTCTAGATAGGCAGAGCCAGCTGTCACTCACGCAGCTGGGTGAATCCCGGCACAATTGTCGGGATCCGTTTCAGCTGCGGCGTCTCAGTATACCGTGAGCTGTAGCTTGCGGTATACTGAGCTTAGGGTGATGGGAGGACGCTATTTTTTGTCCTCCCGTTACCCTTAGGAGAACTATGGGGAAAAGCCCTGACCCCATAGTTCTCCTTTAAACATACAAGCAGCAGTAACTGAAAGCAATACTTGTGTGCAGTGATTTACACTGCTCATGTGCAAACAAAAATACATGCGGTCGATTACTGCAATTCGTCAAGGTGCTTTTTAAAAAAATGACTGCCGATTGAACCTTGCGATAATCGGGGCGGGATGGGGCCGCCTTACGAAAATCGTACGACGTATAGATCGGACGAAAAGTGTCGTCGGATGATCGCAAGGTGTATGGGCAGCTTTAGCCTTGAATGAGGTAGTAATGGGCGTAGCTGGTTGGTGTAATAGAACCGCAGGATAGAAGTGTTTTACCCCGTAAGAGTACGCCCACCTCCACAAAGAGGAGAATCCTCCATTGCAAGAAAAATACAATGTCAGATCTCTAAAATGTGAGAAAGAAAGCAAGCAGTGTTGTGCAGATCAACCAGCTTTCAGGTGCCATTTTCTAATCTCCAATAAAAGTGTGGAGACCTGTGAGGGGTTGTTTGTTATATACAACACAACCGCCTCCATTACTTGTATATTACCCTCAGTGGTGTTGTGTCAGATGAACTGTGATCATAGCTGACAATAGGTCAGTTACATCACAGCGGTGTTCTCATGTCTTTACCTGTCAGGATGGTCTGGAAAGCAGCCTCCACATTTGTCGAGTCCAGGGCTGAAGTCTCAATGAAGGACAAACCATTCTTTTCTGTATAAGAAGAGAAACATGGCAAGGCAAATTAAGTGAAAGCAACAAATGATTGAATAGTGTTTAGAAACATGCAGTCACAGGAGCAAAGCTGTCTGCATAGTCCCTCAACTTGTATTAATCAGCATCTTTACTTTATCCAATACAGGACAAGCAGAGGTTCTTGCACATGCTGCTGGAATGTGATAGACATTAGTATTCCCAACAATGACAAGTCAAGTACCAGTTTCCCCATAGATGCACCCAGCTAGCCAAGATTACGGCCAAGGCCAACTTATTCAATAGCATCACTATAAATTAGGCATGCACCGATACTAGTATCGATATCAGTGCTGGTACCGAGTATTTGGGCGAGTACTCGTACAAATGCTCCCATGCCTAGCCCAATACTTCCTGTATTAGGAAGCCAGGCAGTGCGTCATTACACGCTGCCCGGTTTCCTGATTGGCCGGGAAGCAGCTCCATGCTCTCTCGTCACTTGTGATGAGAGAACATGGAGCCAACTTCCCATCCAATCAGGAAGCCGTGCAGCTTGTGATGAAGCGCTGCCCGTCTTCTTGATTGGTCAGGAAGCTGGCTTCATGCTCCCTCGTCATCCCATGACGAGGGAGCATGGAGCCGGCCTCCCAACCAATCAGAAAGCAGGGCGTTGCGTCATTACACGGCGCCCGCTTGCTGATTGGCCGGCCAGACGGCCCCAGCTGGGTACCGGGCGAAGGCCGCGTTCTGGCTGGAGAGGCCCCGGGGGTGACAGGCTGGACATACCAAGGTAAGAGGGGACAGACTTTCTTGTTAATCGGGAAGCCGGGTGACGAGTCTTTACACGCCACTTGGCATCCTTAATGAGCCTTCAGTTACTCGGTAATTGGTATGGGCGAGTAGCGAAAATTTTTTTATCGGTACCAAAACATCGGTATCGGTGCATCCCTACTATAAAATCAGCATACAGCACGTATCTTTACTTCCTTCATAACACTGATCCTTCGTTATGTACCACAGAAGGAACAAATGGCACAGTCTGGGTCACCTAGAGCAACCAAGTGCATTTTTCCTTTCAAGTGAAACAAATGGTGCTGGGGTTTCTGGTGTGTCCCTGTGCCTTTAAAGGAGGAATGGGCTGCCTCCTGGCAAACCTGCACCCAATTCATCCTTTGCTATATATGCTCCAAGATGGAGGCTCTCATAGGTTAGAGTGAGGACGGCACTACACAGAGCCCTGGACAAGGCAGTGCGGCATGCACATATTTTGCAAATGTTGTACAACTCAAAGCTCTGGTTTTAACCCTAATAGTTAGACCGTGTACTTTGGGTTTTTTGCAGACTAGCTGGTGAGTGTGCTGGGACATTCTTGTGTTTGCATTTTTCCTTTCATTCTCCCATACTGCACTTGGAGAACAAAAACTAATGGACAATTCTAGTAGGGCATTGCCAGTCACAACACTGCCAAAACGGACAATTCTTGTAGGACTCCTTCTACACTAAAAGTGTAGAATTGTTAGACTTTCCTCATATGCATTACTGAGGTGCAGTATCCTGGATGAAAGATTGGGGCTTCAAGGCAATGCATCACTGGCAAGTCACCCCGCATTTCATTTACGCAGGGAGTCCAATGACTGCCATAGAGGAGCTGTGCAAAGGGGATCACATTAGGTGATGAGAACACTTAATTTATGTGTCTACAGGGTGAACTGAAACAAGGATGGAAGGTCCATCACTTTTATATAGGAGGCTACTCGAGATTACAACACACAAGGCAGCGGGTGTGGGTTCAGTTTGCACAAATGTTTGTAAAAATAGAATTGACAAGCTTTAATTAACAGGAAGTGTCCTAAAACCATGCAATAAACATGAGCTTGTTCCTCTTTGAAAAACCTCACGATTATGTGATTATATTAAAACAGGTCAACCAATTTTCTCAAGATTTTAGTAAGATTTAAAAAGTAGAATTTAGATATAAAGGGCAGATTCTGACAACACATTTTTAAAATACCTTCTGTTTATAGACAAAGCCACACATCTGGAATTTAAAAAGAGCATTACTTAAATAAAAGATAGAGGAAAGGATGGTGGCGAATGAAAAAGAAATATCATCAAATGCCCCCCAAAATGTCTTTTCCCTTTCACCAGGTTTCATACAGCTTTAACAAGCACGCAATGGACAAGTTCTACCACTAGGGGCAGTGTGGTAGAGTTCTACTCAGCATTATCTATACAAGATCACGGTGGCCTTATCCAAGGAGATTTTCCTATGCACAGAGCTAGCGAAAAAGCAGCAAGGCAAATGCTGCAGAGCCAGCCACAGTATTCTCTGTACCATGTGGGAAAAGGTCTGTACAATACTTTGGATAAATAGTGTTTAAAACAGGGGTGCAGATCTGGCCTACTTAACATGTGACGTACGTGCATGTCCAATTATAAGTGTGGGTAAAAGTGGAACTTTCCCATCAAGGAGCTCCAAGTGCCCACTCATTATTTATCTGTAGCACACCCTATGAGCCCGGAATACTAAGGAGTCCCGATATGCAAATTGTGGCCCCTGTTTTCCTTCCCGTGCCTTATTCTTGTCCAATCAGTGAATGGGGAACTCTCATTAACCAATAGTGAAGGCACAGGAAGTACGCTAAAGCCAGCAATCCAAGCAGCAGATGTCTTCATATTCAGATCTCCCGAGGTGCTACAGCTAATCTGACAGGAAGTCTCTGCTGAGCAGCAGTTTAATATGTTTCTATAGAAGGGGTAGGGAACACCAGACCTCCAGCGGTTGCGTAACTACAAGATTGACGGTTACAGGCATGACTGAGGCATGTTGGGATCTGTAGTTAAAGCACAGCTGGAGGGCCGGAGTTGCCAATCCCTGGTCTATAGCTATAGACTTGCTTTGTGTAGACACTACAGTCACAAAATAGAACCTTATTTACAAGCTTTTAAAATGTCTAACTACAACCCCACTTGAATGAATCTACACCCACCCCAGCTGACTGCTCCCACCTTTCAATGCTGTTTGTGGCAGTTGTGAACCGGATTTGGGCCTTAACAGAACAGAAGCAGGTTGTGGCTGTCCTATGCAAGTCCTAGGCAAATAAGCAGATAGGATGGGGGGCCTTTATTACAGATTCGCTTAGGATTGCTAGGGTGGGTGGG